TGCAACAGTACTTCTTTAAATATAGGATTTCTAGAGTAATACAAAAGAATTCTAATTGTAGATACTGAAACCTATAAGTCCACTTGTCTTAGGCCTAACATTAGTTAAGCCTTTATTACAAATGGCCTATATTTGATAAAGAGATAAATTACCACTGTAGCTTGTGTACATTTTTTGCTTTAGTTCAGTTAGGGCTAAACCTTACTGTACTTAATACTATCAATAAATAATCTTCTAATATTATTCTACGACTTAACATTAGACCTTTTTAAAAGCTTTGATAAGCTTTTAATATGTTGTATAAAATGTCTACTAATGTATATTTACATCCTTTCTGGCATAATTCAATGATTTAACAAAGATATTTTTTCAAATTGCGAAAAAGGTGCAATTTTCTATACATTTTAGTCCAAATATATCTTTAATTTTCGATCACTCATAGACTACTTGCTTCTAATTGAAAGGATGCCAAACTACTTGAATTATGTAATAAGTTGCTATGACATCAGTGTGTGACCGACAGACAGATACACACTGTGTTTTATAGTATTAGATATGAGCTAAATGAGACATGAGTTGGTAAGAAACATTAACTACCTAATTACATAAACAAAACTGAATAATTTTTAACCACTAACTTTCTTAACAAGAACTCATTTGTCATTTGCGAGCTATGTGGAAGAATTACAAAAAGTTTAATTCCGTACTGAATGATCATATTCAACTTGACTCAATATCGCATACTACATATGCATATAAATATTTCATATATAAGTATGTTACAAAAACTAATGCATTTATTAAATGCTGAACTTTATATGTGACAAAAAAAGTACAAGAAAAAGAAAACTAGAAAGTAGACAAAATGTTTACCAACCCCCATGGCAACAGAATATTTTTTCATCAACAATAGCAGCTACTGGTAAACAGTTGAAACAGTCTGTGAAGGTTTTCCAAAGTTTAATGTTGTATCTTCTTTTACCTGAACAAATAAAGTTCAATAAAAGTTCAAAAATGGAACTAACTTCATGAAGTAGTAAACAAAGTACCCAGCCAATTATTAATTCTGTATGAAAGGTTTGATAAAAAGGTTAAGAAAGAAAACGACCTTTAAACTCCAGATACTTATTAAAGATCTTTTTTATCTCAACCAATGTTTTTCATTTGCGGCTTCTTCTGAGTTAGTACATACAACTGAAAGACAACAAAAAACTTTCTATGAAAGTATAAACACACAGAGTAAAACAAACTTTTGACCAATATTACAGCAAATTTAATTTTAATCTTGTCAGTTCTAAACTTATTATTTTATAAAAAAATTCTTTCTAATTTTTCAAACAAAATTTTTTGAAACTTATTTTCATATAATCAATGTACATATAGTACACAGAAACAATAAATAAATGCACACATATGTGTACAGTGTGCATGCAGTTTGCACAGCTCACTTTCACACGAACTTTGAAAGTTTGTGTTGGGTGGATGTTGCCAGTTATGAAATTAAATACTAAAAAGTAAAGCACTGAATGCTCAGTGGACTCTTATCTGTCCGAAATCTTGTGATGGACAGGGTTTCGGTCTCTCGGCTGAGGTCTTTAATGTAATGAGTAAAATGTCTTGCACCAGGCTGTTGGTTCGATATCTGTTCTTACTACTTAGTGATATCTCTTTTAAAAATGGTTTTCTAATTATTAATAGTTGTTATTTTTTTACCACTTTCCAACTCATAAATCCAATTAGGCCTCCACATTGTTATTATAGTACTTTTATGTATATTCCATTAAGGAATGAGGTTTTAATCTGCTATGACATGTGTTACCCATCCATTGTTGATACACTTATTTATAAAAACATTGAATTATGATGTAGCACTTTGGAACATACTTAGTTTTAATATGATACAAAAAACAAAAAAACAACGAAAGTAGACAACGTACTCAAATCATAGCCATGTGAATAAGTAAAAAAATGTGTTGATTAACTTTACGCTAAAATAATACAAGTTTGTATACTTTGTATTTCGATGATATTCATATGATCTTGTTTTGTTTAATGATTTTTATCAAAGAATTCATCTTTACTCTGAAAGTTACAATTGAATTTAGTGGTAGAGTACGTTTAAGAATGATTGCTACTTTGCTGGTTTAGTTTGCTGAAGAGTGGCTGTCGTGGAAACATTGAAACAAAGGGGGATTTATAAGTAGAACAGTTGCTGAGTAGCATGCTCAGTGTCTGTTGTTTTAAAATTTTACTGAATGTATATATATCCAATATTAATTCATGTTGTGTGTGAACTTGTCTGTCTGCAAATGCCTCTGACAGTTTGAAGCTAGCAGGACCAAACAAAGTGGGTAAACTTGGAAAAGTCTGGGAGGTGTCCCTATCTATATGGCATAACTCCTCTACAAAGAGAGTATTGGGGAGGGAGGGAGGTAATACACCCAGGCATGACGGTCTAAGAGTAAGTTTTCAGGGTCTTGATCTCTTAATCTGGAATTGGAGTATGTATTCCTGCTCCCCCTTTCCAGGATCTAGGGGGTACCATGTTTGAAACTGTGTTCATAACCGAAACACACAAGCTAGCAAAACAAACATGGCACATGTTTATGTTCCAAGGGTGGGAGTCCTAAATCGGTTTATTTTTAGGTATTGGGGAAACTATAGCAATAAGTGTGGATAATGGAGGAGCTTTGTTGGTACACTGTAACATTCATGAATCATGAAGAGGTCTTTC